TAAGTGGATCAAGTATGTAAGAGAAGATATTGGATTCAAATTCAAAAGATTTAAATTTCAAAATTTCAAATGCTAAAAATGGAGGGAAATTTCATTACTTAAGAAACAAGTTATCCATACAAGTCATGCTACTAAACGAAACTTCAAGTGCCAATAATACATTACAAAAATTAGAAATAAGATTACAAGAAAAAACCCTAAATTTGACCAACTATTGACTTTTGATCAAATTGTTGACCAAAGTCAATCTTAACCCTAAACCTACTTTTCTTCATCTTCATGATCTCCCATTTTGCCTCAAATCCTTCTTCATTTCTATTCCAAACTCCATGTCACCAATCATCATCATATTGCACTTTCGTGCTAACTTCCATGCTAACCTTCATGATAAATATTGCACATTACCAACTTGTTTTATCATGCTCATATCAGCCCTGCAACATTCAATAAACATCAACATAATAACACAACTTACATAGTTTAACACATGCGCTCTCGAGCACCACGGAATGACCATGTCTCAGTAATAGGCGCCGACCATGCTCACTCCTCCTCGGGATCATAGGTTACCCTTAAGTCATCACTCCTATGCTCAGAAGCAACGACTTGGGGGCTCATATTCTGGACTGGCCCAATGGCTAGGCATGGCCCAATCCACTTCTACACCTAAAACGATCCAATAGCCTAGGTCCTGCTAGTTGAGGGTAAAGGAAAGCACTTTCTCTTCTACCCCTCGACTGAGGATATTTGGCCAGCTGACCCCCAAGATTAGCAGCCCTTTGTTACATCTCTGCCCGTCACGCACAGTTCATCCATCCAGGAACGACCACGAAGTCTTTGCCCAAAACCACGACCCTGCTCGAAGCAACGACTAGTTCCGAGCATGTCTGTCCGTCTCAACGACTAGTTTCTGGAAGTTACCTATTCTTGGGGAGCGAATATCTTGCCCCGAAAATAGGGACCAATGCCCAAACATTGTGGGCATTATAAAAACCCTATCCTTGAGAGGGTCAGGTATTCAATATTCAATCCAATAATCACCCTAAGAAACACTTACATTGTACTTTCCTTCTCATCACCTGATTCTTACTTTAGAATCAGTGTGCCTTGCAAGTACACCCCCTCCTCCTTGATTCCAGATTCGTAGATGATGTCTCAGGTCTGCTTCAGGTTCTGATCAACCGTCAAGATCAATGGCGCCATCTGTGGGAACTTCTATTTCCCCATCTTTCTTTGCCCGAAAACCAAAGATCAAAGCAGCTTTTCAAGATTCCGATCATGGCCTGTCGTGACAACGTCCATGATGCTCGCAACACCTTTGTTCCCCCCTCAGTAAGACAGACAACAACAAGGTGAACCTCTTTCTTAGAGAAAACATTCCTCAGCTGAGGGACGGAGTCACCGCATCTCCCTCCCTGAATCGCGACAACAACGTAGAGGTCCAGCACTCAGCGGATCACTAGCCTGTCCAAGTTCCGCCCAACACCGACCCGACCATGGCATCTCTGGTCGAAGCCCTCAACAAAACGAGCCTTCTTATCCTCCAGCAGAACGTAAGGATTAGAGCATTGGAAGAAGTCTGTCGTTCAAGATCTCCTCCACCAAGGCGTGAGCACCAGAGGTCCTGAAGCACTTCTCCTTGACATAGAAGGAATCTCCAGATCCCACCAGAATTAGAATCCCTTCCAGTCAGGAAACGCGACCACACTCCTTCCCAGAGCCAGCACTCTGTAGGGGTTAAGAGAGCAAGAAAAAACCCGCGAGCAGAAGGCCGACGTGCACCTCTAGCCAAACTTAAGGGTCAGTCACAAACTTCTTCTCCCCGTCGGAAACGCGGTCCTCGCCCTAGCAGAGACACCCCGCTCACGTTTGCAGTAGAGAAGTTACAGTGATGACGAAGAACCTCGAGGCCCATTATCCCAGAAGATCATGGACACTCGACTACCCAGGGGGATGGAGAAACCTCCACACCTGGGCACATACGATGGCACAACAGATCCTGACGAGCACATCGAGAACATTGATGCCCTGTTCGACTACCACGACGTCCGATGTGCCATCAAATGCAAGTTGTTCCCAAAAACGCTAATGAAGGGAGCAATGTCGTGGTACAAGAGCCTCCCTTACGAATCTATAACCTCGTGGAGGCAGTTGGAGAGAATATTCTCAAGACATTTTACAGCCTCTCACCGTCACCCGAAGAAAAAAGCCTCTCTCGAGGCTATCATTAAGGGAATGAGAGATCTCTTCAAGCATACATCAAAAGATTCAACAAAGAAGTCGTTCAGGCCCCCACGACTGACGGCATGAAAAATATTTGCTAGAGCATGGGCTCCGTTCCCGCTTCAACTTTGCCAAGGCGGTTGGCATCGAAACCCCAGCAACACTGGACGCCCTTCTCCTCAAGGCTCATGCGTATATCCAGTACGAAGAAAGGGAAACAACAAACACCACTCGAAACTCGAGGAACCAAGAGAACGCCAGGTCCTCGAGGCACGACGACCCCTCGACATCTTATCGGGGAGCCGAAAAAAGAAGAGATGACCTCCCCCGGGAATCGCGAGATCACAAAGGGTCGTCTGGCTGGTTCCACGAATACACGACGGGGACAACATCACGAGAGAAGATATCTGCCAAGCCGAATTTGGAGTTCCGGCAAGTAGGGGTCTGTTTCCCAAAGCAGATACATGTCAAGCCAAACACGGACATAACAAAGTACTGCCAGTTCCATAAGAGCCACAACCACATGACGGATGAGTGCATCCATATCAAGGATGCAATTGAGATCCTGATCAGAGACGGGCATCTGAAGTAGTTTGCGAAGAAGAAAGATGCTCCTCGACAGGAAGCCCAGGAGTCAAAGAAGGTTGAGGAAGAAGTGTCATCCTCGAACGACTCCATCCTTCAGGCCGCCATGAGCATCTCGCAGCCATAATGTTTATGTGTCCCTCTTTACTTCTCCGCGCACAGCCCTTGGGAAGCCTTCCCCCCCCCCCCCCCCCCCCCCCCCCCCCCCCCCCCGCCATGGTCATATCGGGCGGAGGATTCAACAAGGTGACCGTGGAGTCTGTAAAGAGGAAGTTCGAATATCTCATCAACATAAGTTCGAGCCAAAGTTCTACCCTCGAAAAGGTTCAGGGAGAATCAGTTCCCATCACTTTCTATCCCGAAGAACTCCTCGGCGGAGCCCCCAACTCTAGTATTTCCCTGCTCATAAGGGCGAAGATAACCGACTTTGACGTTCGGCGAATCCTGGTCGACCAGAGAAGTTCGGTCGACATTATGTATTCTGAACTGTTCCCCACACTTCAGCTGGATGAGACGCACCTGATGCCCTATGTAGGCTCGGATCTACAAGGCTTTAACGGTTCCGTCACGAAGTCCTGGAGATACGTGGAGCTGATTGTCACCTTCAGATCAGTGGAGACGGCCAGATCCATCAAGGTCCAGTTTTAGATAATTGAATGTTCATCCCTTTACCATTGCATCTTCGGACGACCAACGCTGGCCGAGTTGATAGTCGTGCCCTCCATGGTGCACCTGAAGATAAAGTACTACACTTTCAAAAGGCTCATCGCCACCCTGCACGGAGGCATAAAGACATCAATGAGGTGCTTCGAGGCAGCCTCAAAAGGCTTGAGCACCATCACCACTTGACCGAAGAAATCCAGCAGGCTTGTCCTGCCCTGCAGCTCTGACCAGGCGAAACCACTGTCCCGCGTCGACTCCATCGACCTCAACAACCATTTCTCCAAGGACGGCCTGCAAGACCAGAAGAAGAAGAGGAATGAGTCTCAGTCAAACTCGAGCAGCTCCTCAACATCAACAAGTAGCAGTGAGTCTACCCATCCTTTGCGGTCAATCTCAGATGGAGAATTCGAGCTAGTCCTCTTCGGCGACGACCCCAACAAAAGAGTGAAGATTGGGACCGGGCTCTCCGACCTTGCGAGAAAACAACTAAAGGCCTGTCTTAGGGAGAATGCTGACATGTTCGCGTGGAGCGCTTCAGAGATACCAGGGCTGGATTCAGAGGTGATCTGTCACCAGCTCACCATCGACCCCACTGTAAGGGCAGTAGCCCAGCGTAGGCGTAAGCAATTCCCGAAAAAAACGGAGGCTGCCAAGCAAGTTGTAAAAGATTTTCTTAAAGCAAATTTTATTTCGGAAGGCAAGAACACTACTTCGCTGTCCAATATCAAGACAACAAAACTACTCCTTTTTTTGTTCCTTTTACTCAAGATGATCAAAAGACTGATTGATAATGCTGCTAAAAATCAAGCGGCCACAAATCCACAAAACACTGTCTTTGGTAAGTTCTGTTATATCGTTACATCTTCATGTTTTTTTTTTAATTGTATACTGTTACATATGTGTTATCTATGTTTCTTTTACAGATGCTAAGAGGCTAATTGGTAGGAAGTTTAGTGATCCATTTGTACAAAAAGATATAATGTTATGGCCGTTCAAGGCCATTGTAGGTGCGGATGACAAACCTATGGTATCTCTCAAGTACAAGGGACAAGAGAGAAACTTTTGTGCTGAAGAAATCTCGTCTATGGTTCTCACAAAACTGCGGGAGATTGCAGAAGCATATTTGGAATCACCAGTTAAGAATAGAGTCATTACCGTGCCTGCGTATTTCAACTATTCTCAGCGAAAATCTACCATAGATCAATGATGCAATTACAATGGCTACGAATTTGCTTGATGAGAATGACCATCAGAATGGAGTTGATGTTCTTGAGGATCACTTGAATAAGCTTGAGGGTATGTATGAGCATATTATGGCCGAATCCTGTTAGCTTTTACTATTTTATTACTAATCTTTTAAATTTTTCTTAGCTTTATTTTGTAAGTAAATGCAGAAAATGTGCAGGGATGTTAAAATACTGAAGATTAATGTATCCGTGCGCATCTTTCTATGAAGCATGACTCGATTTATATATATTCACAAGGAAAGTGTTCACTGTTATGAATCAGTGTAACTTCTTTTTATACATCTATTCATCAACATCAATTCCAACCCAATTAATGAAACCGAAGAGAAATTCCCGAAATGTGACTTGTCCGTTCTTGTCCCAGTCCATTTCTCCTGTGAGAAAGACAAAACCAGAACAAAAATTTAGAAAATGTGATAATAGTTAAAGGTCTTTATGGTTCATGAACTGCACTGAATCAAACCACATTATTGATTTGGTTCAGTTTTCAATAACCATTTCAATAAAAAAAACAGTTAATTGCTAAAACGGTTTCAAAAGAAGAATTGAAATGAAGTAAACAATACTGAATCTGTTTTTGGTGACGTGTGCAGGAGATCTTTCTTTAGGGTTAGTCTCATTCATTGTTCTCATCATGTCCTTCTTGTTAAGCTTCCCATCACCATTTTTATCGAAAAACAGAAATATTTCAACTATTGTATCAAAAACTTCTCCTATCTGTGCTAACTCCGCCTTTGGTGTCTGTCACAAAAAATATAGAGTCAAAAATTAGTGTCACATGGTTTAAGCAGATAACTAGGCCGTTTGGTTCAACCGGTTGAACTAAGAACGGACCAATCTTCTGATTGGTTAGATTGTGATCAGTTCTCAACCTCTTCAAATTTGATCGATTGGTTCAGTCAGTTCATTCGTTTCAAAAATAGTTCTATAAACACTCGTTTATTGTCTAGTTCATCTAGTTGAACTAATTGAACCATGATCTAGAAGTTTCACCTGGTTCAATCTCCAGCCTAGTTTTGAAAACAAGTTTATAAAGATCAAAGAATACATCATCGGAGGATAAAGGTTCCGTTAGGACATGAATGAGGCATAGAAGAACAATAAACTCATTGAACTGAATCCCTTTGCTTCCATCAATATCACAATACTGAAAAATATTCTCAATCTCAATCTCTTGAAGATGAAGTTCCAAATCTTGTAAGAAAGTTTTCAGTTCATCCGGCTCTATGGATCCATTAGAGTCCTCATCTATGAAACATACAACATAACAAAATTAAAAACATGGCTCATAAACAAAAAAGAATGTTTGGATTGTATTTGAAACTTACCATATTGTTGAAACATTCCCCTTAAAGTTTTTAGTCTCTCCTTGAACATAGGGAACAACATAACTATAGTATCAATTGATTTCAATTTGCTTTGTCCAAATTTATTTCTTCTTATCTCAGATATTTTCTTTTCGAGATTCCTTTCCAAGCTCTTTTCTTCATTTTGTTCACTCATGCAACAGATTAATGCTCCCATTTTCTTGCCAAAGACTTGAGAAAAAGGAAAAATGTGCTATGTTTAAGAAGGTAAAACCTGGAAATTTGGAAGGAATGGAAAAGATGAAAGTAGAAAAGCAAAGTATAGTGGATTCCAAAGTGGAGATGCCATTTTTTCTTTGAATGGTGTTCTCTTATATGAGTCATTATATTTCCAAGTATATCCAAATTAAAGGGTCATCAAAGAATATATTCTCTTGACTTCACAAACTGGGAATAATGCATTATTCTTTATTTGTTTGATGGTGTTTGTTTCCAAACTAAAACCAAGAGAAAAGGACAAACAAAAAACATGTTGCAAAATTGAGTTAATAGCTTCTTCTGGTTAGAAATAGAGGTTGAACTTGTTGCATAAGTTTGTATAATCCTATTTTGTAGCAGATCATAATGGTAAGTAACAGGTTTCATTTATATTATTTTGTACTATGAGATATTTACTAATTAGAATTGATCATTAGTTTATGTCTCTTTTAACTTTTTTTAAGACTTTCTAAAACTTAATTGTCAAATAAGTTAATATTTTTATGAATTTTATTTTCAAATATATATTATGTTATACAATGTAATTAGTTGTATTTTAAAACTAACTTAATCAAGAAAAAGTTTAAACCTAGGTATTTGGTTTCTTTTGATTTATTTAATTGTTTGACACTATGGTGACTGAATTCAAAATCTAAACGGAAAATTTTGCGAGACCACATTGTGTTTGGTAGAAATGGAGTGTGTTCACAAGCACACAGTATGTCTTGCGTTTTATGCAGAAATGTGTCGTGTTTTAAAGAAACACAATGTGTTTCGCCTGATGCTTGTAAAAGACAATTTTTAGTCTTTTTTTTAAATGAGTCTTATTGAAGAATTTTTTAGAAATAAATACTCAGAGAGACAAAGAGAGAAATTCTTAGGATTCATTGTAGAATTAGAAGATCTTTGGGGGAGTTATGGAATTTGAGAAACACATTGAGAAATACATTAAGTTTGTGTCATTCATATTGAGAGAATGAAAAATTATGAAACACTTGCGTAAAAAATAAAAAATGTTCTTAAGAACTTGTAATATTATTTTCTTGTAACTTAAACCACACTTATGTTCTTAAGAACTTGTAATATTATTTTCTTGTAACTTAAACCACACTTATGTTCTTAAGAACTTGTAATATTATTTTCTTGTAACTTAAACCACACTTTGTTGATGAGAGATTTTGGAAATTTTGAATTCTTTGATGCCTTCAACCAAGTCAACCTCATGGAATTCACCTGCAACAAACTAGAAGATGTGTATTCAAGGTTGGTAAAAATATTCTATACAAATCTCAACTACAAAAAGGGATTGATCACTTCTAAGGTACATAAAATCCCAAACTCTCTCTAATTTAAGAGTTTGGGGAACTTAAATGACTCACACTACTCCTCTGATGCTCAAGATGATAGGGATAATTTCAACTTTTTTTTCTGCTACTCAATCCCTTCTTTCCCATCCAGCGGTAGGTTTTAGGGCCCTTTTATAGTGGAATATATGAATGTGACTTGGTATTCTCATTTTTTATGTGATCACCCATGTGCTCATTTTGAAGAAGCTCAACCACAGGAAACTGTTGAAGATCGACGTTGTGACTGTTAGACAACGGTAATGATCTAGAAGGGGGGTTGAATAGATCATTAATTTTTATACAAAGTCGGCGCTTATGATAAATTGGTTTTGAAAACTTTTAAGCGGAAGCGGCCGAGGAACTATGATCGTCTAAACGAACCATTACCAAAAAGATCGGATATACGCTACGCCTATATGGAATAAAGATTAAGATGAGAAATCGAATCAACAATTTGAACACAAATCAATATGATTTTATTCACTCAAAGTTGTTAAATTTCCAATGCTTTGTGAAAAATAAACTCAAGTTGAAAAACAGCTCAAAACGTTTGTGTTCAAGAAATTTGTCGAACACGTGGTGTGCGAAGCACTCCAAGTAAAATTTACTATGTAAATGTAGTGCTATATTTTTTCCAATTACAACCAAACGGATTGTAATAAGTTTTCTAAGTGTGTTTCAGCACTACAATGAACCTGAATTTTAGTCAACCAATTTGATTGCTCTCAAACGTAAAATTCAAAAATGAAAATAGCAAAATGAAAGAACAACAATAATTTGTTGAGGCAGTTCCCCCGTTGTCCTCACTCGTGGTACATCTGCCCTCAATTCTAAAAATAGAATTGAGATCTGTATATAAAACATGTTGCAAATTGTTTGTACAAGAGAAGCAGTAGAAATCAAACACTCAATCCTAATCGTTGATGTTGAACCTATGTCTTCTCTTCCCTTGATTCAAGATGAATCAAGTCCTTTGAATGTGATAAGTAAACCTCCGATTACGGCAACACCTTTGAACCACCCAACGACCTTCAAATCTTTGGCCCGACTGATTTCAAACATCCACAATGCGAACCCAAACCTTCCTTCCACAATCCTCCGGTTAACGCTACTAAATTGGCAGAACATCTCGTTCTTCAATTATCTTCGCTCGGCTGAATCTGTGAAGGAACGATTTGTGATAAACCCCCCAAAATCAAAGATTCTTGGAGGACAAAATCTTAACGGTTTTATTCAAGAAACTCCCACTGATCTCTCAACCCAAACCCGATACAACAATCATATATTTGGACGTTATCACCTTAATGATGCATAATGCACAACAAAAATGGTTATGTGTATTTGTTGAGAAAATGCAAGAAAGAGGATGAAGATGATGTGAGCAAAATTAGTGTCTATTTTCACTTTTCTTGTTATTATGAAAGAATAAGCTAAAACAATATATATGTGAAGCTTGGACTAAATAACCAACATAACAGACATTTTGAAAGACAAGCATAATATAAAAATAGACTGAAACGAACAAACGGTCGACCTAAAGAATAGGGGGATTGACCTGAGCTCTCCCACTTTCAAAATGCAGAAAATGTCTCTTTGCATCGACCAGAACAGGTCAATGCATCGATGTAAAACAACCCAGTTTTGACAAATTAAAAAGCTAACAATATAAGTTGACCGGAGGGTCAACGTGAGCTCTCCTGAGAACAAATCATAAACATTCACTTTGTATGAGTCGACCTAAGTAGGGCTTTGAGTCGACTCAAAGGTACAAATCTTGCAAAAATGATGTTTTTGACATGTCTTGCTATTTCTAAGCACTTCTAATGCATATCTAAGTTTACCAACATGATCAAATTAACATAAAACACAAATAATGCTTTTTTATATGAACGGACACATGTTTTTGATAAATGCTTGACACGAGAAAACAACGAATGCATATGTGACTCGATGATACCGTCCAAAGTACATATTACTAACTAGTTATGTTTTGACATCATTAGAACAAGTATTGAGACAACTTGCCCTCACATACTCCTCCTTTTTTATGATGGCAAAACAGTAGCAAAAATTGAGCACATTGTGTAGTATCATCCTCCCCCTAACTTTATGCATTCATCTAGAAAAAATATGAACATTTTATCAATCTTATAGGATGATTTGTTGTTTTTGCTTGGTCTCTTCTCCCCCTTTGACAACTTAAAAAAGAAAGAAGTAATAGGTCAACGAAAAACACAATATATTGAGTTAAGCACATTCACAGAATTTGTAACAGGTAATCATTAACAAACATTCACATATAATGGTGTTAATGGAAATGTATAAGAATATATATATAGAGAACACTACATATTTCCATGTCTTTAAAAACATTAGAATCCAACATATTTCCATGTCTTAAGGAATTAAACAAACATAATAATGAATGATCATTCAAATGAAATGAACAAAATATGGAATGACATGCACAACACCACACAAAGAATCCTCAAGGCCTCCTCCCCCTAAAATGATGGCCCTTTCCTCGGAATTGATAGTCATGAGGTGGTGGAGGTTGTTGCTCATCCAATTGCTCCATAAGTTCCAGCATAGCCCGGTTAAGAACGTTGAAGCTAGTAGTGAAAGTACGATTTTGACCTGCAGCAGTCTCAACCATATGATCAAAACGATCCATCACAGCGGCGGCGAACATGTTGAAGTTATTGGTCTGAGCTTGAAGTTGGTTATGCATATTCGTAAACCGCTCATCTTGTGTAGTGGCAAAGTTCTGTTGTTGGAGCTGCATGTTACTCATCATCTTGAGGAGTTCATCATTATTGTGTTGAGTATGCAGAGGAGATGGAGGCACATTGTACGACTCTGGGTAATTCCAATTAGTTGTTTGTGGCATGTAATCTGAACAAAGAGTGGTCCAACTCGTGTGTTGCCATTCACCCCATCCTTGGTTTGCATCTGAGTCCAAAGGGGGTCATTAATCTAACTAACCACTATTATTATATTCATCATCATTAACATCACTATCCATTTGATTACCATCTTCTTCTTCTTCTTCTTCTTCTTCTTCTTCTTCACTTTCATCAGATTCTTGTAGGTGAGAGCTGGTAGCCTTAACAATAAACCTGTAGCGTGCCTGACGTGGATCCCACATATAACTCATCATAGTTAACGTCTTTTGATAGGACTCTTGGTCAGCTGTCAAAGTTTTGTATGGGATACCGGAAACAACCACTTCAACGTTGTTGATGACAGATTGAATGAAGGATGCATCCGACAATGCAGTCCCTTGGCCAAAATCAAAGAATAGATTTTGCTTGCAATGTAGTAAGGCCAATTTATTTTGATCTTCTTTTTCAAGATGTATACCAAATGAACCTCTGCTTTGTTAACCCTAGAATAGCCTCCTTTCTTGGGCCGAAGTATGTGAGAAACAATCCATTGCAAAATTCTTTCAACTGGTTTCAACCGACCAGTTGTTACCGACTTTGGGAAAAGATCGCTAGCCATGATTTGTTCAGTACATGGTTTCTTTAACATGGAGTTCAAGGCTTCCTTGAACTCGTAACCTTCCACGGTTCTAGTATCTGTGACATTTATCAGTGGAGCAGCAGATAGT